ATCCTACAAGCTAGACTCCAGCAGTATGTGGATCGAGAACTACCAGAAGTACAGGCAGGATTTCGAAGAGGCAGAGGAACTAGAGATCAAATTGCCAACATACGCTGGATCATGGAGAAAGCTAGGGAGTTCCAGAAAAACATCTACTTCTGCTTCATTGACTATGCAAAAGCCTTTGATTGTGTGGATCACAACAAATTGTGGCAAGTTCTTAAAGAGATGGGAGTACCAGACCATCTCATTTGTCTCTTGAGAAACCTATATGCGGGTCAAGAAGCAACAGTGAGAACCGAACACGGAACCACTGATTGGTTCAAAATTGGAAAAGGAGTCCGGCAAGGCTGTATACTGTCGCCCTGCCTATTTAACTTATATGCAGAGCACATCATGAGAAAGGCAGGGCTAGATGAATCAAAAGTTGGAATTAAGATTGCCGGGAGAAATATCAACAACCTAAGATATGCAGATGATACCACTCTAATGGCAGAAAGTGAAGAGGAACTAAAGAGCCTCTTGATGCGGGTGAAGAAGGAGAGTGCAAAAGTTGGCTTGAAACTCAACATTAAGAAAACCAAAATCATGGCATCCGGCCCTCTCAATTCCTGGCAAATAGATGGGGAAGAAATGGAGGTAGTGACAGATTTTATTTTTCTGGGCTCCAAGATCACCTCAGATGGGGACTGCAGCCAAGAAATTAAAAGACGCTTGCTCCTGGGGAGGAAAGCTATGGCAAATCTAGACAGCATTCTAAAAAGCAGAGACATCACCCTGCCAATAAAAGTGCATATAGTCCAGGCCATGGTTTTCCCAGTTGCAATGTATGGCTGTGAAAGTTGGACCATAAGAAAGGCTGAGCGCAAAAGAATTGAGGCCTTTGAACTATGGTGCTGGAGAAGACTCCTGCGAGTCCCTTGGACTGCAAGGCGTTCAAACCGGTCAGTCCTAGAAGAGATCAACCCCGACTGCTCTTTAGAAGGCCAGATCCTGAAGTTGAAACTCAAGTACTTTGGCCACCTAATGAGAAGGAAGGATTCACTGGAGAAGAGCCTAATGCTGGGAAAGATTGAGGGCAATAGAAGAAGGGGACGACAGAGAATGAGATGGCTGGATGGAGTCACTGAAGCAGTAGGTGTAAATTTAAATGGACTCCAGAAGATGGTAGAGGACAGGAAGACCTGGAGGAACGTTGTCCATGGGGTCGCGATGGGTCGGACACGACTTCACAATTAACAACAACAATAGTAAAAAAAACTATATTGCAATGATGTTATAAACTGAACATAAAAGAAGAAAAAAGGAAACTAGGAATAAAAAATAAATAAAATCCATATAACATCAATGTAAGATTTTCTTACTATTAAATCCAGACCATATAGAAACCAGTTTCTCATTCATCTCATTTTTGAAACATGTAGTTTTTTTTTTCAAAAATTGAACAAACGCATATATTGAATCCATTCCTTAACTTCATTTCCAGCCACGTAAAATAAACCATTAGTACAGCAAAGGCAAAAGAGTAACCAGATTTTCCATAAGAGAGTGAATGCTCTAACACTGGAAGTTTTAAAGAAGAGACTGGATAACCATTTGTCTGAAATGGCATAGGGCAGTGACGGCGAATATTTTAAAGACCGAGTACTGAAAAACTGGTCCTGCCCCCACTCCATCCCCTGCCCTGCCCATGCCATGCCATGCCCCCATCCCATCCCCCATCCCGCCTGCCTGCAGGGTCACTCACCATCTCAAGGGCCCACTGCAGATCACCCAGGCAGCTCAGCAGTGCCATGGCCACACCCTCTGCCCACACTCCGCAGCATCAACTGTGTGGGATGGGCTGTGAGGGCAGAGTCTTGTCTACGCTGCCATGTCCTTGGCGGTGCTGCTCTGTGTGGGCCATGCTTGGGAGCTAATCTCCTCCAGGGGGTTGCTGGTGAGGAGGGGGTCGTGGGGGGAGGCGAGGCTGGGGCAATGGCATGTGTGCCCACAGAGAGGGTTCTGAGTGCTGCCTCTGGCACGCATGCCATACGTTCACCACCACTGGTATAGGGTTTCCTGTCTGAGCAGGGGGTTGGACTAGAAGGCCAGATATTTTTGAAAGACAGAAACAAATGATGTCTCTCTGCTCTCACCTCACTCCCATCTCAAGTGCAAACTCAGGATTCTGTTTTTTCCCTTGCTTTGTATTTAAAGTATTCTTTACCATCTTATGTCATCCAAAGTGCTCCTGTTGTTTTGAACCTATGTGCCTTATTCTGTTACAGGCTAAACCCAGCTGTTTATTGGCTATTGAGGCAATGGCTATATCATACAGATAGTCCTTGACTTACAACAGTTCATTCTAATCAAAATTACAGTGGCACTAAAAGAAGTGACTTATGACTGTTTTTCACCCTTATGAGCATTGCAGCATCCCCATGGTCACATGATCAAAATTCAGATGCTTGGCAGCTGGTTCATATTTATGACCAGTTGCAGTGTCCTGGGGTCACGTGATCAGCTTTTACGACCTTCTGACAAGAGAAGTCAGTGGGGAATCCGGATTCACTTAACAACCGTGTTACTAACTTAACAAAAGCAATGATTCACTCAACAACTGTGGCAAGAAAAGTCATAAAATGGGGCAAAACTCACTTAAGAAATGTTTCGCTTAGCAACATAAATTTTGGGCTCAATTGTGGTCGTAACTCAAGGATTACCTCTCTCTTGTCTTTTAGAGCAACTAGTACAGTACATGAGATGTTGTAAGATTCGCACTGTAAGTAAGAAGTTGTTATCAGCAGATGTTTTTTAAATGCTACTTTTCTTCCCTGAGAAGAAAACCTACATTTCCCCGTGCTTTTAAAAAACATATATCTATTTGTATACTATTTTATTTTTGTTGAGCAGCACATAGGCAACTTTGGCTGACTTCCAAAAGTTAAGCAGTCCCTCATCGCTTTGTATTTGGTTGAGATACCAAGAAATACCAAACCTTAGCTAGACTAGGATGTCGAAAAGCATCACAGAAGAAAGCAATAGCAAAGCACTTTCATCTGGTTGCCAAGAAAACCAGAAGGGTGTGTCGCTTAAAATACCAGGAGTCATATTTGACTCAGACAAGACTTTACCGCATACTTTGAGGTGCAGTGTTCTGATGTGCCAGTGGTACTTCTGTTCGGGTAAAGGAGATGGTTCCAGGGTCAATTTGCTCAATATTAAAATGATTGGTGTAGTTTTATAATTACTGTGCTAAAATAAGTGTTCAAACTTGGTCTTGGTAATAATGTTCAAGTGCATAGTAGTTAAACCGAAGCAGGTTTAAATTGAAGTGGATTTTAAAACAGGATTGATGAGATGATGATGAGAATATTTATATATTATTTGGTCATCTGTTTTAATCATATGGTTTTTTTAAATGAAAAAGGGAAGAAGGAAAAAAAAGGAAAACACCAACATGGCTCCAGTTATTATATATAGAATATATAAATATCAAGTAAATGATAACAGCATGATATAGCTTAGACAGCATCTTCTTGATGAATTAATTTCATAATAACAATACACACATTTCATCATAGTTTTCATCAGGTTGAAGTCATTATTGTGAGGATAAGTACAAAGTCCCTATGGGTCAATAGCAATCTTGATCAAAGGTTTGCAGTCCCATCTCTACGCAGTGATGTTTAACAACTGGCTTTTCCAAATTGGTCGTAAAGACGAAGAGCTGTTCAAGGCATTTCCTTCCTCTAGGAAGATGGGTGATGGGAAATAAACTATTGAGTTCCTTCAGTGTCTCCAATCCTCACTGACATTACTGAATCAATTGCCACCATGGTGTTGCTACACAATAGCCATCAGCTCTGCTCTCAACTGGCTTGCAAAATTCCTGAAAATTTAACAACTGGCTCTTGCAAGCTGGCACAAGATGGCTTCAGCACACCACAGTCTGTACCATTTTCAGACATTTTTGTCCTTCTCTGACCCACTCTTTCTAAACGATTTCCCTACCTTGGGTTCTTCTTTTATATTTGCTGACTCAAATGACTCAGAGTGCTTGCCCACTCATATACAAGGCTTGCTTCAAGAAAGAAGCAGAGGGAAAAACAGATATAGCTATTTCACTGCAAGCGGGGCATGAAAACTGATGCCACAAGTAATCACTTTCTAAGTTATGCTTTTACTGCTTTTGCATAACCTGACAGTTCTTTGTCATTCCCCCTTGCCTATCTCTGTGGAAGAAAAAGAGACTTGGAGGCCTCCATTACTTTTAGGTTTCCTTCCATCTACCATTCCATGTCAACCAGATGTGCTCATTTCCTCTTTATCAACAGCTGATCTTCATCTTTCACAAGCCAGTTTCCCCCACCTAGGACTCAGATTGTATTGAAGCTAGATCCTTGATGCTCCTGATACAAAGCTGTAAGGATTGCCTCTGAAAAAGCACTGCACACACACTCTCTCTCTCCTATCCAGCAAAGCAGTTTTCTAATAACAATTTGCTGAGGTGATCTTGATGCTCCATGAATTGCAAGTTGAAAAACCACTCTTAGGGTGCCATGGGCAATTTTCCACATCGAGGCATACTCAGGCTATAATTGTGGGTGTGCTTTGGGAATTGTGAAAGCCGAGCTATTTCTTGACAGTCTGCACAGCAGCTGCCTGCCCTGGGACTCTGCAATTTGAAAAACAGATGGAGATGCTGATACCGCTGCCATTGAGAATAAAGGGTATTGCTCTGTGTCAGGTCTACTCATCAGCTACAGTAATCAAGCTTAAGACATCTTAGTCACTGAATTTATTGCACGATTGCTGGTCCTCCTCCTCATCTTCGTCTTCCCTTTTTTCTTTTGGTAAGAAGGGCTGTGCTGATGGGTAGAGTCAATGTTTGGTAAACTGGAGATGAAGATCTGTCAACCACACCAAGCCATGAACACAATATAATGATATCCTCTTTCCCGCCCATGCAAAATCAAATCCAACACCTCCCTGGAATACATAAAAGGGAGGCTCATTCCATCTCTGGATCCAGAGGAATTTGGCTTTCTTTGGGCTCAGCACTCTCCAGCTACTCCTTTATTTTAAATTTCCCCCCAGCTGCTACTAGGCCTCTTCATTCTCTCTGTTGCTCCTTTGACTTGAACACAGCAATGTCTTTCCAGACCATCTGCCAAGGCTCCAAGGGGAGCAGAAGGGGCTACAGCTCATGCTCTGCTTTTGGTGGTGGCACCGGAGGTGGAATCAGGCGTAGCTATTCTTCATGCAGAGGATATGGTGGCGGTATGAGAGGCCAATATGGTAGCAGGAGCCTCCATAACTATGGTGGAGTTACAAGGATTTCCTATGGATCTGGCTATGGAGGAAGCATCTGCGGGGGGTATGGTGGTGGATATGGTGGAATGGGTGGTGGCTATGGAGGAATAGGGGGTGGCTACGGAGGAATAGGGTGTGGTTATGGAGGATTAGGGGGTGGTTATGGAGGATTAGGGGATGGTTCCGGAGGAAGAGGAGGTGGATTTGGTGGTAGAATATTTGGCTTTGGATCTAGAGGTATTGGCAGTGTCCAAGTAGATCCAAATCTTCTGCAACCGGTCCGGGTAGAAATTGACCCCCAAATACAGCAAGTAAAAAATCAAGAGAAAGAGCAGATCAAAGTCCTCAACAACCAGTTTGCTTCCTTCATCGACAAGGTAGGTTAACAGAACAGAAAGTGTTACATTTTTGATTGATGTCATGGAATGCATGTCAACTGATAAAGCTTGATGCAATTTGTGCTTAACAATCTAGTAACGTCTTGGGGATGGATGTTTAGTGATGAATAGAAGCAACTGGCTGGTAAGAACTAGAAAAAAACAAGAAAAAAACAATTAGGGTGTTCATTAACAGGTAGATTTTCAAAATGATTTCAGGATAACAGAAAACTAGCATGTGTGGAATTTATAAGACAAGCTGTAATTGATTGCCTTATACTGTATATGCTGAACATTTTCATACATCTTTTTTAAACTATATTTTGTAATGCTAAATCAGCTGCTGCCCTCGAAACGCTCCTACCTAAACTGTAACTGGAGATGCCAAGGATTAAAAATGGCTCAGTGCAAATGCCAAATCTAAAAACTAGCACAAGCTTTTCAAACAATGATGCCTTGTTGCTCAAAATGTTTGTGTCCATTAACTGTAGTCTATTAAAAAAAGAGGCAGCATTTGCATTTCTTGGGCCTGCCTGTAATATTGTTGCTCATCACAAGTAACCACATTGGCTCTTGTAAAGTGCCTGGGTCAGAATAGGGTTTAAAGGAAACAGAACAAGCCCTTCATTGATTTCCACTGGCAGCTGAAGAAAGTCCAGTGAGATTCATGAAATTCTCAAAATGCTTGTGTCCTTTAGATCTTCATCTCATTCCCAGATAATCAGAGTTTCAATTTTACAAAGAAAAGAAGAGTGAACTAGAGAAGGGAACGTAATAAGTTTACTCTTGTCTCTCTAGTTAATGTGCATTTAGATCAGTGTTTCTCAACCTTGACAATTTTAAGGCATGTGGACTTCAACTCCCAGAATTCCACAGCCAGCAATGCTAGCTGTGGAATTCTGGGAGTTGAAGTCCACATGCCTTAAAATTGTCAAGGTTGAGAAACACTGATTTAGATGGAAGGGTCCAGCTTTGCTTTTAATCATTCCCACAGTTATCCCAATGTGTTGTGATGGCAACTTCCTCAAGTAATTTCTTTTATAGGTTCGCTTTCTGGAGCAACAAAACAAGGTATTGCAAACCAAATGGCAGATCCTCCAACGACAGTCACAAGGCATTGGCCCAACTATGAATCTGGATGCTGAGTTCCAGCAGTTTCTGAATAGCTTGAGGAATCAGATTGAAAATATCCGCAGCCAGAAGGGGCAGCTGTCAACAGAGCTCCAGAGTATGCAACATTATGTGGAAGACTACAAGAACAAGTGAGAACCTCAGAAACAACTGTCTCTTTTAGTTATTGGCACTTGCAGTCTGGTCATAGTCTGTCCCCCAGATGAGCAGCAGATCACAATAATGCCACTGATCACAGTTCTTGAGAAGCCTTTCCACAAAGAATGCTCTTTGAACATGTTGTTCCAAGCCCTGGAGGATATAAATACTGCAGTTTAACATTATAGATATACATTTGGGGGATAACATTACAATCAGTGTAGGAACTTCCATGAACAAGGTGGGAGAATTAATTTCCTCATGCTTCTTTGAGGAATGTGTTCACAGTCTATTCCTTGTGTTTATTATGGTAGCTTTTTATTTATCTTGGCTTCTTGTATTTAGTATTTAGCTTGGCTTCTGTAGTCTATGTGTGACTGCCGTCGAGAAATCAATAAATCAATAAACTCACCTTGCTTTTTCTTCTAGGTATGAAGAGGAGATCAACAGGCGCACAACAGCTGAGAATGATTTTGTTGTGCTGAAAAAGGTGAGAGATGAAAATCTGCCAGTTTGCTAGAAACATGGAAGGCATAATCTAGGGATAGAATGGAATCGTTCTTTGAGATTTCTCCAACTTTTAAGAACTATGTCATCATAGTCAACAATTTGCATGCCCTTCCAATGTAGGCCTATCTTTTTGTTGTTCCTGATGCTGTTGTCAAAAATGCTACATGATGCAGTTATAGGATTACATTCCATATTTGAATCTCTTTGCATATGGAAAAGCGCCATATTATCAAATTATGAAAACAAAATAATACATTTGTTTTCCATATTCAAGGAGCCTGACATATTAAAACATATTTTGAAATGACACAGAACCATGAATACAAAAGAGCAAATCTCTAGATTTTTGTTTGTCAAGATTAAGACTTTTTGTCAAGTTTGTACAAAAATGTGAATGCGCAATATTTTGATGCACATTGCTCTTGTTTAGAGAAGTATGCATATTCACTAGCAAGATTGCCCTGAAAATGTAGGTTTTGCAATTGATTTCCTCTCATATACTGTATAGTTTATATTTAGTAACCTATCTCCCCCCCCTCTCATATTTTCCTAATCTTTTTATGGCTTTTGTTATTAGCAAGCTGCATTGTCAAATTCAGAGAACTAGAAATGTTGAATAACAAATTTTGGTCCTCAAAGTTGGCTAAAAGTAAAAAATTGACATCGAAATTAAAACCTATTATCCTCTCTCCCTAACCATTAAAAAAAGGATTTTGAACGTATTTATAAATTCAATAGCTCCTGATATGTCCCGAACAGCACACATGTTCTCCCTGTAAGTCACAATGGATCCTTTTAGAATACAGTTTACATTAGTAAAAAAGATGCAAAATTATGTTTGTCTGCTTCACATAAGCTTTGCATGAAACCTGTTGCTTCGTTTATATAAAAAGCTTTATATAAAAATTGCTTTGTTCATAAAAAAATCATGTGTTGAAGCTGATTTGATCTGAAAAGGTTTGCTGTCTGTAATTAGTCAATGAAGAACAGAAACAGCATTTTTTTTCCTGCTTATATGTATTCTCTAGTGTATTGTTTCTTCACATATTGCTGATGTGGTCTTTCAAAAATTGAGAGCTGAAGACTTAAAATTAAACAACCTAACAGGAATTTACAGGGTCCTTTGTGTAAATTTGCTAAAAAGAGTTCAGGTATGGTCCAACTGGTGATGAGACTTGTTGAAGATTTACACTGACATTCTTCTGGATCCTTGTAGGATGTGGATAGTGCCTATTTGTCCAAGAGTAACTTGGATTCAAGAGTTGGTGCTTTGGCTGAGCAGATTAACTTCCTGAGAAGAATCTTTCAACTGGTAAGGAATGGTTTGGTTCTATTGGTTAATTAGAAGAAAGAGGGTATCCTCAGGTCCCACTGACCCAAATTCAGATTTGTCTTTATGTCTATCATGAATCTTTCTTCGAAAAAAGAATCTTATTTTATATAGTGCATGTTTGCAGGACACACCATTCAGTGATTTTGGTTACAAGTGCAACAAATGTCCACATTACAACAGCAAATGTTCTTAGAATGGTGAGATAGCTGACTTTCTCTTCCTTTTTCACCCCTCTAAAAACAAAGGCCTTCAAAGGCATCTGGAGACCCTACACACAGGACCCTACGCAAGCAGGGAAACCATTCCTTCTTCCAGCTCCTGAGTTCAAATGCACACAGGGCCATAGTGAAGCCAATAAACAGGGTTCAATAGCCTTCATCCTAATTCTTATTCTGAGCCTGTAGGCTCTCAATACAATCAAGAATTAAAAATGCATATTATGGGGAGTAAAAAAAAACACATGAATGGTGAAGGGGCGGCGGGGGGGGGGAATCAGGTAGATTGCCAACCTAACTCATGCTTTTGGATTCTTCACAGGAAATCTCTCAGTACCAGACTGGAGGCCAAGATACCTCAGTAGTAGTGAGCATGGATAATAATACTTACTTGAATTTGGAAGGTATTATCGAGGAAGTAAGAAGCCAGTATGAAGAGATTGCTCGCAGTAGCCGAGCTGAGGCTGAGTCTTGGTATCACTCCCAAGTAAGTAATCACACTGAGACAAGGAAATAAAGTTCCCTAATTTATCTTATGCTTTTCCAGGAAGCAAAAACTCCTGAGGATTCAAACTACAGAATCCCAGAACCTTGTAGTAGGGACTTTCTGCTTCTACTCATTTGCTGAGACAACTATTTAAATGGTTGTTCTCTTTCTCTATGCGGTCTGTGCAAATTGGACCTTAATTCCTCTACAGAGTTCTAAAACTGAATTTGTAGTTCCCTCACCAAAGTACAATATTGATATTCTCGGAAAAAAGCCTTGGCAGCAAATGCCATGATTGATATTCTCAGGACAGATCAGCTTTCTCCCATCTGGAGCTTTCCAAAGTTGTAGAATGTGTAACTTGTAGGTTTTTGTAGGTTCTCAGCTGTACTAGCTAGGGATTCTGGGAAATGCAGTCTTGCCTCACCTTGAAAGAAGCCAGACTGAGGGAAGCTGGAGGCCCCAAAATCTGACTAGTGAGCAAGCAGTCAGTCCTAAAGATGCCCAATCTCAGTTCTGACACACAGACTAGAAATGAATAGTGAGTTGTGAGGACCCTTTCTTCAGAATCTAATTTCTCTGCAATGCGATTTCAGTCAAACTTTTTAGGTTTTTAAGCCTCCTCATTTTCTGAACAATGTGACAAAAAGCAGTTATCTGAGGCAAAATAGTCTTTAAATATCCATGACAGATGTTGATGCATCATTTGTATAAGCTCTTCAACCATGCGCTGATCCAGCCAATTGCAATCTGACTTAAAATGATTTAGCAGCTTTTGCATCTTGGCCCTAAGATCTTAAGTATGGAGTCAGTATGCACAACACTTTGCAAAACCCTTTCTGGGAACCATGATAATTAAACTGATGTCACATCAATATAAAGTGTGAAAGGCATGGCTCTTTGGATGTGGCTGAGCTACAACTTCAAGCGTCTTTTACCATTAACTGTGCTGGTTGGGCCTGCTGGAAATTGTAATTTAGGAATGTTTGTTGGGCCATCCTTTGCTATCCCTGAGCTATTCTTCTTCCATTGTCATCCACTGAGCTGATGAAGCAAAATGGAAAATTACACTTTTTCTGCCCTACAGTACGAAGCTCTGCAGAACACAGCAGGACGGCATGGTGACAATCTGCGCAACACCAGGCAGGAGATTCAAGAGTTGACTAGGAACATCCAGAGACTGCGTTCAGAAATTGAGCATGTCAAGAAGCAGGTATGGAATGTGGAGGGAAGAATTATAATTCTATCTCCTTGGGAGATCTAGGTCACTCTGTGAGTGTTGAATTTACCTCTACAAAGGGAAAGAATCTCTTAGTGAGAGCTTGTGCAAAATCTTATTTTAGGACATGAGGTGCCTATTTCTTAAACCATTTATTTTAAGTGCCTGTTTTTTTAATCATTTGATTTAAGATTTTGAAGCATTTCTGTTTCTCAGACAGATAACATTCTACCTCAGTAACTTAACACGATTCACTGAAACCTGCCAAACTCCTTTAAAATTATTTTTGTCATCTCTCAACATTGTAAGATTGAACAACAGCTCCACATATCTTGTTGCATCATCGTAGCTGAAGCTTTCTTGTACACAAGATGAATTGCATTACCTTTATGTAAGCCCAGGTGTCACATTGTTGGCTAGGGTGGCAAAATAGAATGGGTGTTGCAATGTGAATTACTTTGGTTTGGGGATAGAATCTTTTCTGCACTGAATCAGTGGTTAAAAAGGAAAGGCTGTGTACCAAGAAAGGGCTGCAGTTCATGGAAGAAGACGGGTTTGGCAAGAATAATATCTTAGGAATCTTCAGGTAGGGCTGAAGAATCTGTTTATAGATCTTAAAGATCTGTTATTTGTCATTGTCAGCAATTCTGAACTGGATGAGCCAATGGTTCAACTGTGTTCCCCGTTCTTAGCCTCTTAACAATTTTAAACTGCTCTTCAGTGGTTTATGGGGACAAGATGATGCAAGTGGGAAGCTCAAGTGTTGATGCGTGTACCTGAAAAGAATCTGTTTGGGTACATATATTTATGCACCATATAGATAAAGAATTTCTTCATAGAGATCTTCTTTGACTATGAAGCTTGTCCTCCAGCCTCAATCAAGGTCCCTAGTCATGGCTTGGGACTGGGGAGGGAGCAATAAGTCAAGCCTTTTCTCAAGTGTGCTTTTTTTCAAGAGGAACCTAGACTTCCTTTGTTTTTCCTTGAAGACTATTTTGGATGAGAAATGAAATGTCTTCAAGGAAAAACAAAGAAAGTAATAATAATAATAATAATAATAATAGTAGTAAAGTTGGAAGGGACCTTGGAGGTCATCTAGTCCAACCCCCTGCTCGGGCAGGAAACCCTACACCATTTCGGACAAATGGCTGTCCAGTCTCTTCTTAAAAACTTCCAGTGTTGGAGCATTTACTGCTTCTGGAGGCAGGCTGTTCCACTGATTAATTGTTCTCACTGTCAGGAAGTTTCTCCTTAGTTCTAGGTTGCTTCTCTCCTTGATTAGTTTCCACCCGTTGCTTCTTGTCCTGCCTTCAGGTGCTTTGGAAAATAGCTTAATGTCCTCTTGGAAAAAAAAGCACCTTTGAGACAGCCATGACCTGGACAACCGAGAATCTTCATGGACAAGTTAAGCCTTGCTACAAAAGACTCAAAATAGCTTCTAGGATATGTCTTTTCCATGCTGATGCCTTGTAGATTGCTGAAGGGCATTAGGAGATTGTTAAGCAAAGTAAGAAGAGTTCATATTTCAGATGGGCCCAGAGAAAAGACCATTCACAGAAAAGTATTACATCAAGTCTAGCATAGTATGGCTGGACAAGGCCTTGATCTGGCTTGATATAAGGAAGTGTCTTAAAACTCTCCCATCAACTCAGAGGTAGTATAAGCAAATCACCATCATACTTGGAGAAATAAGGGAAAGAAAGTATCCTAGTTCACAATCTCAAAATTGAACAGCAGAAGGAATCATAGTAAGGGTTCCATGTTTTAAAGGAATGGTAATTAAAAAAAGTGCAGTGTAAAATGATTTAACTCTCTATCTCCATTATATGTTGATGGTGCTTCAGAAAGGAACAATAGCAAAAAAAAATGTATCAGAGGATTTTACATTTATTTCAGGGCTTGTCTGGATAGAAATTTGGAATCCATTAGAATTGGCAGCTTATATATTCAAATAAATAAAAAGTAATGATACATTTTTAAAAATTGGATCGAGCATCTGGGCTAAGGACTGGAACAAGAGAATAAAAAAAGTCTGTAATATTCAGACAGAGTGCTGGGCCCTTTACCATTGCTAAGCATCAACAATGAACCATCAAATTCCTAGGATTAACAAGGAGGTCATTTGATTTGATCACTAACAGTGCTTCTATAATTGGCATTCTGCCACCAAGACAGACTCCTTTTAACATATAGTCATTTCTCAGAAGCATTTCTCAGATCCAAACTCCACTTTAAAAAAAAGCGAAAGATATATTGTATAGAAAGTATGTTTCTGAAATAAGTTGACTGAAGAAAAATAGTTTACACTGGGGAACTTATATTTTAAAAGCCTACACTGAGGAAATGTAAATTAACAAAGAATGACATCAGGGAAATTAATAGTAGAGATTGATATTATCTTATGTTAAAATGTAATTAGAGGTAATTATATTAAAATACTCTTGCATTTGGACAGCTGAATGAAAGGATAAGTTTTAATAGATTTTTTTTAAAAAGTGAAATAAAACAAAGCAATGAACTCAGAACACTAACACGGATTAATTATTTTTCTGATCTGCACATCTCTAGCTCTCAAGTGCTACCAAGTGATAGTGCAGAAATATCCCATTATTTACGATGGATTTTAATTTATGCATTTATTTAGTGCAAAGAGAAAACCTCAGAACTATTGATCGAAGCCCCTGGAAAATTTCCCCCCAAAATAGAATCGCAGCATGATAAATATTTCATCAATAAAGATTTAAAAAGATGATCACAGTGGCAACTAGAGCTGTTTGTTTTCTCCTTTGCCTTGCAGTATGCTAAATTGCAGTCTGACATTGCTGAGGCCGAGGAACGTGGTGAACTGGCACTCCGAGATGCTAAGCAAAAGCTGCATGACTTGGAATGCGCCTTGGTGAAAGACAAGGAAGAACTGGCTCGCCTCTTGAAAGAGTACCAAGAACTGCTGAATGTCAAGATTGCTCTGGACATTGAAATTGCCATGTACAGGAAACTGCTGGAAGGAGAAGAGAGCAGGTGTGTCTGGTGGTTTTTAGGAGAACTGGTTCTAAGTGGGTCAGGTGTCCACAAACAATATCTGGCTTAAAACCAAACCATAACTATGCATGAGGTCTTTTTAAACATCCGACTAGCCAGAGATTGTCTTGTAAATATTTTAACACCCTAATTCAAGGGAAGAGCTTTGATTTGGAAGTTCTGTCATTCTGACTTGTCTTTGGAAATGTGAATGTGCTTGGCTGGTGCTTCATGCCACATGGGTGCTCCAGGTCTTACTCTGTACCTTACCTGGATTCCAAAGGTGTTCCCTCTGTGGGTTGGTTTGCATGTGGGACATGGGGATTCATGAATGGAGGGATCCACCTTGTAAATAAGAAATAGAATTAGATGATTTATGCTTATGAGTTTCACACTGCAGCTCATAATATATATCACCAGGGTGGGGAAGTGGGGGGGTTATTATTTTATTATTTTAATTATTTTATTATATTTCTTTTATATTGAGTTTTTGTGTCCTGTAAGCCTCCTTGAGTCACCATGTGTGAGTAGGTGGCAATATAAATTTCCTAAATAATTAATATTATGCTGTCATGTGGAAATATCACTCAACCTATTGGGCAATTGACTATTTCATTAAGGAGAATTTTGTTCAAAAACCACCTGTATTTCTTTTCCCTTTAAACAGGCTCGGTGGCTCAGGATCCCAAGTCCATGTCTGTAAGTAACTTATGCCTTCCCCTGAATATATTTATAGCTTTTAAAGTTGTGAAGATGTGCGTACTAAATCTGTGTTTTCCTTACAGCTGTGCGGCGTGGCAGCTATGGTGGCATTGGCGACATCGGTGGTGGCATTGGCGGCGACATCGATGGTGGCTTTGGCGGCGGCATTGGCATTGGCGGCGGCATTGGTGGTGGCATTGGCGGCAACATCGATGGTGGCTTTGGCGGCGGCATTGGCACTGGCGGCGGCATTGGAGGTGGCATTTATGATGGCATTGGAAGTGGTGTTGTTGGTGGCATTGGCAGAGGCAGCTATGGCTACGGAAGTGGTGGCATTATAAGTGGTAGAGGGGCTGGCGGCTCTGTCTGTGGAGGAGGAGGTGGATTCTCTCATGGCTCAGGAAGTGGTTCCAGCACAGTCATCCGAAGAACCACCACATCCAGCTCGTGCACCAAATCAAGCGGAAGATATTAGGCATCTCTCCCGGTCCCCCCCAAAGGAAAGGAACATCTTTTAGCTGCTTGTGTTAACACAACTCTTTCAGCCCCATTCTGGCAACCCAGAAAAGAACAAACTGTGTCTTCTAAAGCCCAAGATCTGGTCTATTTCCCTCTCAGAAGAAACCTGCAGCCAGTCCCCACTGAGGAAGTCATTGTCCATCTTGCTTCTGTTGCCTTAGATGACGAGTCATGAAAGCATAACCAAATTCCATTTTAGGACATCCAAGAGAGAAATGCTTGAATGAAAGGGGGAGATGAATCAACTACAAATCTGGGCTCTGTTTCCTTCAGTCTGCTGTATATATTTGGCTTAGTTGGTGGCTGCCAAGTAGTGATATGCATGAAAGAAATCTTTCCTCACTGCCTGGAGTCTTCTTCCAACTGATGGTTCTCTTCAGTCCTGCTGTAGTTCCCTGCTTCATTGAGGAGATCATTTGTTTTCATTGTATATGTCTAGATCAATGTTAGGCATGTCAAACTTGCACTGCTAAGTTAAATGCTAATTTTCTTAAACCAGCACTGTATTTTCACTCAACAGTTGGGTTTGCAGAAAGACAGGGTCCTGAAAAATTCTGAGCAAGCAACAATTCATTGTTAGGAAATCAGAAATTAAGGACTGTACTGTGAAAACATTCATTCTTGGGCCAGTTTTGCAGATTATATTGCACCTATCTTCATTTCTTAGGCTTTCTTTCCCATTTTCTTAGGAGCTGATCATTTTCAATAAACTGCAGTCAAGTTAGATGTTGTCTCATTTTTTAAAAAAATATGGTTTTTTTTAACGTATATCATTTTACTTCAAAAAATGGACCATTCCTGAAATGGCTTGTACAAACTCCATGTATTATTATCTGGGAAATAACTCTTCATGAGGACGTGGTCTTTATTTATAATTCTATATTTGTTTATCTGAGAGTAGGCTTCACTGAATTAATTGGATTTCTTTAGAGGAAGCATACATTAGAGATGTGCATCTATCCCTAAATATGATCCCCATAAAGCAGCATATAGTAAGGCTGGGCAATATGGAGTCAGGCAAAAATATTAATGATTAATAGGCCTATTCACTGCTACTTACTTGGGCTATGGAGAGCTCTGGGTTCAAAGAGCATTCATGATTGGATGAAACATGGATATGTTGTGTGCCATCTGTCAGGAACATCTCAAACATCTCAAGAGCCGAGGTGGCGCAGCAGTTAGAGTACAGTACTGCAGGCCACTTTAGCTGACTGTGTTCAGCAGGTCAGCAGTTCAAATCTTACCTACCATCCTTCCGGGGTAGGTAAAATGAGGACCCAGATTGTTGGGGGCAATGTAAATATATATATACATTGCTTACTGGTGTACACCGCTTAGAGAGTGCTTGCACTTAAAGCGGTATATAAGTCTCATAAATAAATAAATAAATAAATAAACTACCTCAAAGCTACTGCTCCTGGACCTATGGAGCAGTCTTCTGTGGTTGATGTACGAAGCTAGGAGAAGATGTGATTGACTGATGCTCTGTGTGTATCCATGTTTGCTCAGAATAATATTTTTCATGGCAACCAGGGTTGTGCACAACCTTGATATATTCCATTGGACAGGCCAATTAATAATGACTCTTTTTTGCCTTAAGGCCAGCTATAGCCCAATTAAAATAAACCAGCATAACATAAGAACAACCAAACTTAAACATTATGATGTAAGGGGGTAGTTTAAGCATGGGTGCTTCATCTCAGTGAACTTAAACGTGCTTAACTTTGGTTGGATTTTGGTCTTGAGTTGCTGTTTTTAAACAACCTACTCAAGGTCTAATTTTGAAAAATACTGCTTTGTATTCAGAATTGTTAACCTAAAACTGATATGAAAAATTTAATTTCAGCTTCGATGCTGCATCCAGCTTTTTTTGAGTTTGCCATCCAGAATCTCAGGAATAGCTCTCGTTTCTCAAAATGATTTTTATCGGGTTGTTTTATCTCCTGCTTATTATCTGCATCTGTTCTAAAAATTAGGGTGGTATCCAGGAAACTATCTCATGTCATGCTGTGAAGTAGGTCTAATTACCCATGGGTTAAATCAAATAGTTGACCCCCAATGAATGAATAATGTCTTGTGCACATCAGAACACAGACATACAGTGTGGCCCTTTCACAAAGATGCTGGATCAGTTTGAGATTGTAAAATAATTCAATTTCACCTCGTTAAGAATTAAGTTGGCATTTGGTTGGCTCTATGATCATTTATTTGAAACTGCAGTAAAGCTAGGTAGCTGCTTATCTATTCTTCTCAACAATGGAAACCCGGCATTCCTGTCTCCTGCCTTCCTTTCAATATCATAAATGCACTCCATTCACCAGTGGCAACTACATGCCTCCTTTTGCTGCATTAACAGCTCAGAATTATGCTAGGTGGGATGGGATTTTACAGCTTAGAATTATGCTGGGTGGGTGGGATTTTCCTGTAGTAGCTAGCTTCCTCCTTTCCTCAGCTACTATTGATCTGTCATTTCAATCATTTCCCCAGGGCATCTTCAAAGATACAAAGGCATCTTCCTGTGTAGCATTTTCTAGACTCACTCAAGCACCATTTTTTGCCAAAATAATTGGCTTCTGTGATAACTGGATGATGATATGAAGACATTTAATACTTGGCTGCCATAGATCTTGGTTAGTAGTGAGCTGGAGGTAAATGCATATACTACACATAACAAGAAAGGTGAATATTTGTAGCTCAGTGACTAGTTTGAGTAATGAAATAACTGCAAGAAAATAAGCAAGCTCAGAGAGCAGACACTCCCCCCACTGTACATTTCAGGAAGGAGACATTGATATTAAGGGAGTTAATAGTTGCAGATTTTCAGTCTTGATCTTTTTCCCTCTTTTTAAACAATTTTATTACATTCTACAAATCTTATAGTTGATATTTTTTAGAAGGAATTATATAATAGTATCCAAATAGTATCCACATAGTTTGCTATGTAATAATTCTTTGTGTAAATAAAGACATTTTTATTAAACAATAAAAAACATGAAAACATAACAGATTAAAAATTTAAAATAAAAACAACAGCTCAAACAATTTAACCCAAAAACTAAAAAAGAAACTTTTTACACACACACACACACACACACAAACACACACTCCCCTACACGGCCTTCATGGAATAGTTGTTTTTTCAGAGGTGGTTGCATTCCTGTAGTTTCTTTTGATAGACTTGTCATGCCTTAAGTGACTTAGAATACAGGTGGAGACACAATGAGACTAGTAAATTCAAACCATCTGATGATTCCAAAGGGTCATGCTCAAAAGCTTGGTTCCATCAATCTCTTTCAACCATTTATTCATTTTTCAGGGACTTCAGCTAACCTGTCCCCAAGAATAGAATCAAGATCATGTGAAGTATAGAATCAAGATCATGGTGAGGATTAGTACCGCTTTACAAAGCTCTAATAAGACCATACCTGGAATACTGCAGCCAGTTTTGATCCCCATATTACAAAAAAGATGTTGAGAGTTTGGAAAAAATTCAGAGAAGAGCAACCAAGATGATCAAAGGCCTGGAGGCTAAAACATACGAAGAATGGCTGCAGGACTTGAGTTTGGCTAGTCTAAAGAAAAGAAGAAATAGGGGAAACATGATAGCAGTGTTCCAGTATCTGAGGAGCTGCCACAAGGCAGAGGGAGGGGGTCAGGTTGTTCACCAGAGCATCAGAGGGAAGGACAAGAAACAATGGTTGGAAACTGATCAAGGAGAGAAGCAACCTGGAATTAAGGAGAAACTTTCTGACAGTGAGGATAATCAACCAGTGGAACAGTTTACCCCCAGAATTCGTGGGCGCTCCATCACTGGAGAGTTTTAAGAAGAAACTAGACAATCACTTGTCTGAGATGTTATAGGTTCTCCTGCTTGAGCAGGTGACTGGATTAGAAGACCTCCAAGGTCCCTTCCAGCTCTATTCTATTCTATTCCTCTGCCACCACACCCTTCTTTAGCCATATATTTAGTGGTATTATGAAGGAGCACATATAGATAAATGCTAGAGACCTCAATTACACCAGCATGCCTCAGAAGTACAGGGGCAGGGGAGCCCTTTTATATTTCAATTGAGAGTATAGCAGACAGAGAGAGGGACATCATTTATTTATTTTTTTTAGCTGCAAATGTGCTTTTAATGTTTTTTTTCTCTTTTTTTATTTTAGACCAACAAAACAAAACAAAGCACAACAAACATTACATACATACGCATGTAATATATCCTTTTTTGTTAACAGCAATTTGTAACAGTACTCTTCTATTCTTTACATTTCCCCCCTCTTTCTTCTTTGAAATATTTGTCCTTATTGCCCCATTGTTTCTTATTTACGTTTTCCTTCTTTCATATTTTACTACTTACTAGGAATCCAACATTATTCATTGTAATGACACTCATATTTTTTATAAGACTCAACCAGAATTCCATGTAAGCATACAAATACTCTCATATTATTTAGTGCATATACTGTTTTTACTCTAATACTATTTCCAACATTGAAATTCACCCCTTTTCATCCAAGTATATTTGTTTATTTTTATTTTTCTTTGACATATATAATAATTCCTCCTTTCTTGTTTTATGCTGATATTGTGTATAATGTTTCTAAATTTTACTTTCTCTAGTAATTTTCTATAATCCTATTTTATGTAAACTTCCTAAAGGTACATCACATCTACATCCAATTTCCTTAAATTGTTAAACATCTAAACTCTTTTTCTTGATATATTTAATCCTTTAATATTTATAGAAAAGAGCTTAATTACGTCTCCCATTTTTAACTTGATCTATTTTTTTGTTTTTATTTTGTTTTATACTTCTTGTCTCTATAAGTCTTCCTTTTGCTTCTCTTTCTAACCTTTCTCTTTCTTGTAACTTTTGTATTTCTCGCTCTCGATCAGCTTCCTCTGATAGATCTTCACACCATTTATTTTTATTCCACCTTTATTATTTTTATACTCAAGGAGCCAAATGGACCTGATACTTGTTCTTCCTATTTCTCCACAACAACCCATCCTGTGAAGTAGGTTGGGCTGAATGAGAGTGACTGACTCAAAGACACACACCAGTTTTCATGCCTAAGGCAGGACTAATGCTCACAGTTTCTAGCCTAGTGCCTTACATACTAGACCAAACTGGCTCGTTGGAAATCATATTTTGCTTTGTTTTAGTGACAACTCATTACATTGTGACAAATTTGTGTGTTACTTTGAAAGTGATTCTGACTGTGTGGTTGGAAAGTGGGGAATGACTTAATTCGTCGAAACTTCTGAAATCCCATTTTCTGCTTAATCTGCAGAAAAATAAGGGGAAGCTAGTTCATATAACCCAACAGAGCATTCTTTGGAAAGCACCTTATTGCCCAAGTTCAAGGACAACAGATTTTGATATAAAACCAGAGAGAGACTAGGGGCTCTTCCGCACTGCAGCTGCTATCCAGTGTGAGAACTGGTAGGAAACTATGCCAGCTTGCAGAAAGACTGGCTGCTCTTCCAACTCCTACTCTGCTTTGGCAACAAAGTAGACAGGAGATCTCTCTCCACCAGAAGAGAGAAAGAGTGGGAAACACCTCCTTGGATGTCAACAGGCACATGGGATTATTTTCCCCCTCCTCATCTCCCCCAGCTACATTTTCTCCCACAATATCAGTCAGAAGGGACCCTGGAGGCCTTCTAGTCCAACCCCCTGCTCAAGCAGGAAGCCCTATACCATTTCAGACAAATGGCTG